AGTGCAGAGTGCCCATCGGCTACTACTGAACCGTGCTAATCTTGGCGAAGCCGAGGAAAGTGGTGAGGTAGAAGATGTGCCTGTTGCTGATTTTGGAGAGCCGGTCTATGATGAGGAGTTTGGTCAAGATGAACAAGTTAAGAAGGTGCCTGCGGACCAAGGAGATGTAGTTGGTCTGAAGGGTTCTCTCACTTCCTTGAGCCCCATGAGATGATAGCTCGCAGAGATCAAATATATTTCAGACCCAGTTTACTTGTAATGGGCGAATGTGCAAATTAATAATTGATAGTGGCAATTGCGAGAGAGGTAAAACACTCCACAACCTTACAAGATTGCTTAGTTTGAAAGAGGAGTTGAGGTACCTGTTAGTTGCTATTGTATTGTTTAACTTTCTATTGGAAATTTTTATAAAGATAAGGTTTGATTTGATGTTGCACCAATGGGTGCCTTACATATATTGCTTAGTCGGCCATGGCAATTTGATCCCAATATATTCTATAATGGTGAATGTAACACTTATACTTTTTGGAAAGATGGGCAAATATTGTTTTATTCCCGTTATAAGATGAAGTTTCACCTAAACCCATCAAGGAAGAGGGTGTGACTTTGCTCTCGTATGGACAATTTGTTGAAGCTCGTGAAGAAGCGGGCAAAGTCTTTGCTATGGTTAAAAAGGCCTTACAGCAGTGTTCTATGGTTTCTGGAGCCCTTAAGCATCTAATGAATGAATTTGTTGACCTTATGCCGGAAGAATTACCAGCTGGATTGTCACCAATAAGGAGTCTACATCATTGTATTGACCTTATTTTAGGATCTAGTTTACCAAATTTATCGGCATGTTGAATGAATTCTAAAGAGCATGAGGAATTACAACGCCAAGTTAATGGGCTATTGTCTTAAGGGTTTGATTCTTCCCAGTAAGACCCCATGTGCTGTCCGACACTGCTCACACCTAAGAAAGATGCGACATGGCGCATGTGTGTTGATAGCCGAGCCATAAATAAGATTACCATTAAGTACTGGTTTCCAATACCAAGACTTGATGACGTGTTAGACACCTTGGCTGGTTTTTCAATTTTCTTGAAAATAGATTTAAGGAGTGGGTAACATCAAATTCAAATCCAAGAAGGGGATGTGTGGAAGACAACCTTTAAGACAGTCGCTTGTATGAGTGTAAGAGTCCCTTGTATGAGTTGCTTGTCATGCCATTTGGACACTCTAATGCACCTAGTTCTTTCATGCACTTAATGACTCAAGTCTTGCGAGATTTCCTTAGCAAGTTTGTGGTAGTATATTTTGATGATACCTAGATATATAGCACTGATCCAGAGGCACACTTTAATCATTTGTGCCGATTGCTTACTATTTTGAGGGCTGAAAAATTTTATGTTAACCTTAAGAAGTTTAATTATAGGACAAATAGTTTGGTGTTCTTGGGTTTTTTGGTTTCTTCAGGTGGTCTTAAGGTGGATGTCAAGAAGGTTAAGGCCATAGTTGATTGGCTAATACCTGAAAGTACGATTGAAATGCGAAATTTCCATGGACTTGCCATATTTTATAAGTGGTTCATTCGAAGTTTCAAGACCATCATGGTGCCAACCACCGAGTGTTTAAAGGGTGAAGGCTATCGATGGACTGCCGCAGCTACCAAGGCCTTTAAGGAGATTAAGGAGATGATAACACACACACCACTCCTTGCTTTGCTCGACTTCAATAAGGCATTCCAAGTAGAGTGTGATGCCTCTCATGTGGGAATTGGAGCTGTGTTGAGTCAAGAGAAGAGACCTATTGCATTTTTCAGTGAGAAGCTGAATGATGCGAAACTGAAAAATTGAATTTACGCCCTTGAGTTCCATGTTGTCATTCAAGCTCTTCGCCGTTGGAGACATTATTTGATTTACTAGGAGTTTGTGACGCACTCGAGCACATTAATAGCCAAGAGAAGTTGAGTGCAAGACATGCTAAGTGGGTGGCTTATTTGTAAGAGCACACATTCACTATAAGGCATCAATAAGGAGAGCAAAACAAGGTGGCTGATGTTCGTAGTCGATGTGTTCATTTGGGGAGGACATTAGGAGTAAGTGGTTGGTTTAGATGCGGAATGAGAAGCCTATCAAGATGACCCATATTCAAAGACATAATGGAGAGGTGTCGAGCAAACCATGTTAACTCTTATCACCAATTCCTTTTGTTAGATCGTTATTTATTTTATGGTGCTCGATTATGCATTCCTAACACTTCTTTAAGGGAGCATCTTAGTGCTGATTTGCGTTCCGGTGGTCTTGGAGGACGTTTTGGAAGGGATGAACCATTTTCTTTGATGCATGAAAGATATTTTTGGTCTTCTATGAGGAGAGATGTGCATAGATTTATTGACGGTGTATGAAATGTCAGAAGGCAAAGGGGTATTCTCAAAATACAGGTTTATACACTCCATTGCCAGTCCCAACTAGGCTATGAATTAATCTATCCATGGATTTCATAGTGGGTTTGCTGAGGATAGCAAGAGGCTATGATTCGATTATGGTGGTGGTGGATAGGTTTTCTAATGACACATTTTATACTGTGTAGGAGAATTTGAAAGTATGGATCTCGATGCTACCACTGGCTGATTTTACATACCATAGTTTTCGAAATCGGTCAACCGGAAAAGCTACATTCAATGTGTTCTCCGGTATATCACCTTTGCATTGTCATGATCTAACTCCTTTACCTATGCGCGAGCATGTTGATATAGATGCTTCAAACATGACTGAATACATGGAGTTACATGAAAAGGTTCAAAAGAAGTTGGGGGAAAGTTACACCAAGTATCAAGATGTTGTGAATTGACACCGACGGCTGCAGTTGTTCAAAGTTGGAGACCTTGTTATGGTATATCTCAGGTCGGAGCTATTTTCTGTTGGAACCTATGGCAAGCTCAAAGCGAAGAAGATTGGTCCTTTAAAATTAAAAGAAAAATAAATGACAATGCCTATGAAGTAGAGCTGCCAAGAGGGTGGGATATCTCCCCAATCTTCAAAGTGCAAAACCTATTGGAGTATCATGGTGATGGCAACTCGATGGAGTCGAGTCTATTCCAACTCGGGGAGGATGATGCAAATTGCATCTAGGAGCGTTTTGGCTCCCGGGACATGTTTGTCGCTTTCAAGGTCTATTTTGGTCATCGGGAAGTATTTGTCATCTCTAGGAGTTTTTCCTCGGGATGCGTTTTTTATTCTGTCTTTGTTTTTCCCCTGAGATGAGTGAGTTTATCATTTATCTCCTTGTTGGTTTGGGCATTTTGAGATCTGTCAAGGTCTAGGGAATTTGGTGAAGAAAAGTAATTTATTTTGTGAAGGTTTCCATGAGTCCAAAGGACAAAGATATGTAGTTTCAATGTCTGGGAACTTGGGTGCATGGAGATTGCATGCAAGCAAGTTAAAGTATGGGAAATGAGGCATAAGGGTAGTCCAGTCATTTTTATACTTTGTTAGGGGTATTTTGGTAATATTCTAGCTCTAGCAAGCTGTTTTTAATACACAGAAAATTACTGTAACAATTAGTTAGTTTTGTTGATTATTTGATAATGAAATAGATATTTCCTCATCCTTGTGTACCAAGAGTATCTAGAGAGAGAGTTCTCATCCTTGAGTACTGCGAGTACCTTGAGTTGGAAGGCCATCTACTTGGTGTAGTGGCAAGAGTTAGAAGCTGAAAATCTTTTTCTTGTCATTCCCTTGATCGAGATCAAGGAAGCCGGGTCGTTTTTGCACAATTGGCCTAGATCTATACTTTCCGCGATACCAGTTTGCACCAATATTGCCATGCTATAACATGGTGCCACATGGCATGAACAATATATTTAGAAATTTTTGTAAATATTTCTTTTCAAGTAGTCTAAACTAATCTATCCCCTAAAATTGTTGCTAAAGTTTGTATGTTTTCATAAGCCAAGACCTTTCTCTCTCCTCTCCCGCCCATTACTGATGATATGCAGAAGTTGACAACAGGTTCATTTCTTAAAGAAAACATGACAGTTGAGCTTAGGTTTTTGTTATGGATAACAATTTTGTGGTCTCGTGAGACCACCCCCTTCAAAAGTCTTTTAAAACATTATCCTCCAAATAACATTTAATTTGGAGCTCAGAGAAAAAGCTCCAAATTCCCCAAAAGATCGCCTGTGCAAATTGACTGTTCGATTCTTGGTTTTGGGTGACAGTGGATTATTCCAAATTGAGTATTTTTGGGACGGGGTTGTTTTTGGAGTGTAGGAAATTGATTTGGAGCTGGTGGGGGGTGGGGGGGGGGGGGGTTTCTGAAAACTGGTTTCGAGGTGGGGGAGCAGCATTTGTTTGGGACCTGGGGTACCATAAAAAACTTATGTTGAAGGTTATCAATGTCTTCTATTATCACAAGCTTGATGCATATGTTGTGCATGTAATGTGTGTTGCACCAGGATCTAATTGCATCCTAAAATTACTGACAAGTTCCAATTCCATAGTGTTTCTTGCTTAATATGGTGTAAGGACACCGATTCCTTACATATATTTTAGAAAACAAATGACTCTTCTTTCAGGAGGATAATTGGATATAGAAGCTCTGCAAACTCGAATGTAGCATGTAGCTTCTCTTAAATTTGAAGAATCTCTATTATATGTGGAAGAATAGAGACTCCTACCAACTCCTCTCTCTCTCTCTCTCTCTCTCTCTCTCTCTCTCTCAGTTTATCTCCTCTCTCTCTTAAATTTGGAAAATCTTTATTTTTTCTTTGAAGTTAGTAACTCCTACTAATTTTCTCTCTCTATAAATCTCTTCTACTTCTCTCTCTCTCTCTCTCTCTCTCGCTCAGCTGATATCTTGCGACCTGCTCATGCAACCTAAGGCTGGTGCTACTTCTGTTTTACTTAGGTTAATCCACAGGAACTCAATTGAACAATTTTGTGCAACAACAATGAAATAAATTTCTTTGACATGTTCCAGCGTTTGTTGGTTAATTCTTTGAATTATTTTTATGCTAGGTAGTTGGGAAGATATGTGATATTCTTCTCTTCCAAAATTCCAGGTTCCTGAGACTGCAATATATTTTATTGAAGAGGGCAGAAAGGTTCCTGCTGCTTAAGTGGATGAAGCATTACCTGGTCTCTACATGTTTGAAAGCAATAACTGAAATTTTCAACTCTCTTTTCCCATTTGATGATGCATGAAATTTACAAGTATCTCTTTTCCCATTTGATAGATGCATGAAATTTACTTGGAAAAGTGTATGCCCATATCTACTATTCACTCAGAAGCCAGCTGTGAAAATAGCTGCTGTAATAAGAACATTGAATAAGGACCGATGAACTTTGCATAATGGTTGGTGCAACTAGTGCTTGTATGCCTTGAAAACTGAGACGAATTTCCAGGCATCCAATCTTCTTGCATGAAATTGAAGGTAGCTTCATGCATATGGAATGTTCCCAAATATAGAGCACCAATATATTTGTCTATGCATGAGTCATTCAAAACGAAATCTTCATGGTTTTTTATTCCAGTAACTTGTATGTAAAATTTGTTTCATGTTTCCAGAATGAGCTCCAGGTTGCTGCTGGTTCTCCTTTGCTGATCCGCATTGAGATCTCTGTTGAGAATCAAGTAGTGCATTGGTGATATCTTGAGTGTTCAGACCTACTTGTACAAGAATGTTTTTATCATGGTTATAACAGCCATTGTGATGGTAATCGTCAAATAAAGGGTGATTTAATTTGAATCAACAGCCATTACACCAGTAAATGGCCATTATCCTCCATCTAATAGAAACTTGGTTCAAATTGGTTAGTCACATTGCAACCTTGTTTGTCAATTTGAAAGCAAACTCATCCAATTAGTTCAAAAAGACAATGACTGCATACCACAAGACCAATTACCTTCAGTACAAAAAGTCTCGATCATCAACCACTGTCAAATGTGAAATTAGATGTTAGGGGTGTGCCCTTGGTCATTCAAAGTTCAAATATTTTCTTAAAATTTATATAGAAAAATGACACCAGCCGATGGATTTTACATGACAGTTGCCCATGATTGTGACCTTGTCTAAAGGTAAATGATTTTTTTCTTTGTTTTCCAACAAAGTCATAGCTAGCTTGTGTTTGATGCGTTCAAAATTATGTGGTCCTTGCAAACTATATATATGGACGGGGCATTACCATTTTGCAAAGACCAGTCCCCTATGAAATAAAAACAATGGCAAGTAGTTGATGTTTGAGAATTGCGTTTGGAATTACGTGGTCAACGGTTGATGTTTGTAACACTTCATCTCACGTTTGATTCCTATTGATTCCTATTGCTCAGATACCCAAAAGAACAAAAAAAAAGCTATCCACAGAGAGCGAACAGTGACCAGTTTCAGTGGGTTTCTTATAGGTTGGGCGTATTGTATGTGTTGTGCAAGGACTGTTTGAGTGAAAGGCAGAAAGCAAGAATAAGTTGAATAGCCAAGCAAAAAGTGCAGGAATAGGGAATGGTAATACAAAATGCTCAACACAAAAATTGAATAGCACGGCAAAAAGTGCAGAAATACGGAATGAAAAAACCAAAAAACATACGGAGATGCTCAATTCTCTGCAAGGTACCATGTAGAAGTCATTAAAATCGCCACAAATAAATATAACAAGCACCATGGAAATCAATTTTGAACAATTCCAAGGTTCATCCATTGAAGAACCATATATGAAAAGTGCATTGAACAACTATATAAAGAACAGTGGGAATCAACTGTGAATAATGCTATGTTAATCCACTAAAGCGTATTTATCTCAATGGTCGGACTTGTTCTCCTTTAACCCTAGGTTTACTTGCTTTTGTGGTGCTGCAAAAGAAAATACGAGGATGGGCTCTAGGCAGAGGTGCCACGTAACATCTGGAGTTCCATTCCAAGTTAACATTTACAACAAAGGAAGAGAACCAATATCCAAGTTCCATGCCCTCTATGCAAACCTCCACATGCTAAATGCCCAGCTTGTAATTCTTGGTTGTTTACTGTCAAGAAAACACACACGCACGCATACTTTACAACATGCAATTAAGGTCTCTCTAATCTTTTCAGCATCTGTTTTTCGGAGACCTGTAAATCCAAGAAAATATTGGTACCTTCTTGGATATTACATGGCAAGTGCATCTCTCTTACAATTGTCAGAAGATGAATTATGGATGGGTTTGTACTCAGGGCAAGTGGAATATCTTATTTACATCCCAGGCCACTTTCATCTTCCCAGTTTTCAACTCGGCTTCGTCAAATGTGCTACCACCAGCCTCAGAAGGGTGCTGCAGCCTTGTCTGTCTATCAACCTTGAGCTCATTAACTTCTACTATACATAGCCCTGATTCTACCAGGTTCTTCCCATACCATCTTCCTTCCATCTGGCAAATCCTCCCCCGGCAAACCTCTTTGCCATCATCATCGGTTAGAGAAACACATTGGCCAGCTTCAAACCGCAAGTATCTCAAATGCATCTGCTGTGCTGCGAAATCAACAAAGTCTGTCAGGGGCAAATCCGGTGTTTCACATCCCATCTCTTTTGTAATGCCGCCATCATCATGATCTTCATCCAATCTTTCTGCACTCTCTGATGGTTGGTTGCTGCCTCTCTCTACCTTTGACAGGAAGTAGAAGTCCTCCCCTCCGGTACTCTCTGATGAGTCATAGAAATGCCCCCCCATATTTGAGACACAATTCCTATCAGAAAATGCATTGTCTCCTTCTGATGGTGCATGAGCATCTCGAGCAGCTCGAGCTAGTCTAGCTTTCCTGTTGTTCAGCCTACACAGCCAAAAACACATAGTAATTGGCAGTAAAAAATAGAGGTACAATGGTTAACTGTTGTTGCAATTTTAGAAGGGGTTTTATTGATTAGGAGCAGCGAAGTTTCCTACAGTACATTCGCAACAACCCATCCATTCCTTGTTGACATGTGACAAATGGATGGCAGCATTGAAGCACTGTAGGACCTTCACTGCACTCATTATGTACAAACCTATGTAATTCAACATACTTCATTATCATGGGCCCCCCAAAAAATTACTCCTTCCAAAAAAAATAAGTGATTTCGAGATCCAAAAGTGTCCCATATTCAACACCCAACAAATCAAATACGGATCATCCATTTGATAGATAATGGATTAAAGAATTTGGAATTTTGTTGCAGCTCGAAATAGATTCTCATTTAGAGTGCTCATTCACTATATTTTCTCACTCAAAAAAGCCATTTTTTAGGATTCTGTCAAAAAGAATTCACAAGCATTGATAGGGATGAACATGGGCCATGTACAAAATTTCGGGTCAAACAAACCCCCTTTTGATAGGCTGTGAGCGAAATTAGCTCATGGCTGTCACACACGACACACACACACACACACACACACACACACACACATATATATATATATATATATATATATATACTATAGTATATACGTA